CGACTCGACTCGAAAAAAATGAGTCGAATAGAGTTGGTCTTTAAACTTGACTCGACTCGACTCATTCGGAACTCTAGAGAGAACTTAATAATCTTCATTTTGATATTTGAATAAACGGTAGATATTGTCATATTACAGATTTACAGTTTTAAAAAATCAAACAAGCATCTACAAAGTCTGCTAAAGAAAATATGGCTAAACAGTATAGATTATATCTCAAAAAAATATTATTGATCAACTTATTCGTAATCATCATATACAAACTTCTTAAGATCCTTACTATTGCTTAGTAGGCTTAGTATGTAGACTTCTTGATGAAACATTTAAATCAATGAATGATGAAGGTTATAAAAAGTTTGTAAAAGTGTGGTGAGTTTTTGAGATTTCATTTACTTGGAATAGATTATAGAATCTAATTATTCATTGAGATAGCTATTAAATGAATAATTCATTACGCCTTACTATGATCATATCTTATATATTAACTCATGCTATTAATTATCGACATTACAAGGCTAAAGTTATTATTAGGATAAAAATGAATGTAGTTTAGGTAATCAGATGCAAGTTTTAGGAATGATCATAAATTGTTGAGTAAAAGTAGCAAAGGCTTGTAAAACTGTATTCAAATCATCATATATTGTTACTAATACCTATAACGATTACATTCTTTTGAGAAAGGATCTTGAACAAGCTGCTATAATATTATTAAAGGTAATTTCATTAAAATTATATTTTGTTTTTTTATCATATTATTAAATAATAAATACTTCATAGGTTTTTGGATCCATATTTTCTAATTTGCTGAATCTTCATATTCTTTGCTATCTACCTGACATTGCAACTAATTTCAGAACATTAGTGAATGTCTCAGTATCTTTAAAAGAGGCGGTACATAGATTATATAAAAGAATTATTCTACACACAAATAAGAAAGATATTTCAATGATCTTTCAAAGCGTGATAATACTCTTCAAACTTTAAGATACTTGTTGGATAGTAGATTAGATGTGAGATATAATAAAGTTAATTTATTTATTAAATTCATACGTGATACAATATTACATAAATTATTGGATAGTTGGTATATTGGAGTACCTTCGATGCAAGCTAATATTAAGAATGAAAATATTATTAAAGATAACTCAATAAGTATCTGATACTAAAATTAAGTTTTTTATTTTTAATTTTTATTTAAAATTACTTAAATTTAGAAATTTTATCTATTTATTTTAATTTTTAAAACATTCGAGTTCATAGTTTATGGAAATAATCTAATGTTCAAAAACAAAATTTATCAACTGTTCTTTCTGCAAACAATATATTAACTGATATTACAAAAATCTATAGAGATATATATCAAAACTTTAGTACTATTATTCAGTGTCATGTTAAATATTATGATAATATTCAATTTACAGTACAATATGAGGCCAATGATTATACTGATATTACAAATTGGTAAAATAATCAATGTAGAAGATATTGACAGTCTTGGTAAACAATCATATGTATTAATTAAAACAATCATGATACATCAAAATGATTTTAGACATAATAATCCCTTCTTAATAATTGACTGGTTTTATAGAAATGGAAAGACTGACTCTATAACAGGATTTCCAATTTATAGTCTTTAAGAAAGTAATAATCATTTATAGTCACATTTGCAACCTTTAACAATAGTGGATCGAAAATCCAAAATGCATTTTGTTTATAAATATACAAGTTTTTGTTCTAAAGGATTTCATGATAAAAATAATAAAAAATATATTTTAAATGAATTTTATTATTTAATTGTATAATCATAATTATGTATTATCATTAATATTATAATAGTATTGATATATATATTGTAATGATAATAACATGTATATTGTAATATATGATAAATATATGTTGTAATATATAATAAATATATGTTGTAATATATAATAAATATTTGTTGTAATATATATTATACTAATATTATAATTATATATAATATAATATTTATATATTTGTTAAATAGTAATAGCATGTATGTTATTAATTATTACAAAATATGGTTACAATATGATTATAATATGGTAATTATAAATATCTATATTGATAGCAAAGTATACAAATTTAAGAAAATACAAAATCTCTATTTATTCTAAACTAAATTAAGATTGATCCTGCACTTTTTCAGAATCTATTCCTAATCTAAGCTAAAAATTTTATATTCCAGTAACTAACGAATAAGAAAGGATTTGACAACTACAACTAGGGTTGTTAAAGTCTTAGGTTTTAGACTTAAAGACCCGGTCTTAAGACTAAGTTTGCAGATCATTAAGTCCAATTTTTTAGACTAATAGAGACTAAGTTCTAAATAGGTCCTAACTAATTAAATTTTAGTTAAAAAAAAAGTTAAAAATTATATATTATTAAATATAACGTATATTATCTTATATAAAACGCCATTTTTTTGTATAATGAATTCAGAAAACCTTGATAATAATAATTTTATTGACAATAATAACAGTTCACCTTTTTATTTTAACATTAATGAAAATGAATTAGATATATTCTTTTATAATTTTATAATAATAGGTTATTTGATGAAACTTCATCTATTACATCAAATACAAGAAGTTCACAAGACTTACGAAGTACACAAAACTCTCAAAATTTACGAAAAACCTCTTTTTTATGAAATTACATAAGTTATGAAACTTCAACTCATCCAGAACACTAGTCAAAATAGTCCAAATCAGCTAAAAATCAGATGGCCGATTTTAGGCTGATTTTGATACTATTTATGTCTGATTTGCCATATTTTCTGATCGGCACAAACAGGTGCCGATAGACACCGATCAATCCCAATTAGACATAGCTATTCAGAACTTAAATTCAACCATAAATCAGCCTAAAACTGGCCTCAATTCAGCAACAATTCAGACACTGATAGACGCCAATTGATCCCAATCAGATATAGCTATTTAGAACTTAAATAACCATAAATCAGCCTAAAATTGGCCTCAATTCAGAAACAATTCAGACGCCAATAGACTCCAATTAGACAAGTAATTCAACCATAAATCAGCCAAAATTAGCCTCAATTCAGAATCAATTCGGTAACAATTCAGACATTGATCGATGCCAATTGACTCTAATCAGACAAGCAATTCAGCATCAATAATTAGTACATTTTATTTATTAAATTTATTAAATATTAAATTTTATTAATAATAAAAACCTAATATAAATTTGCAAAAATATAACAAAATATCACTAAAATCTACTGATTAATTTCCTATTAAAAATAGAATAATAAAATAATAAAATCTGATCTATTTCCTCCCAAATCCTCTTAAACCATCTTAAATATAGATAAATAAATAATATATGATAAAAATATGATCCATTCCTTCCAAAATCGACCAAAAAATGTAAAAATAATAAATATAAAATGTAGAAAATAGAAAAATCAACCCAAAATCACCCCTAAAAATGTAAATAATTATTAAAATCGACCCGTTCTCACCTCCAAATCGCCCAAAAACAACGTAAAGATAATTATTAAAATTGACCTGTTCCTACCAAAATCGCCTGAAAAAAATAAAGATAATTATTAAAATCGATCTGTTCCCACCCAAATCGCCCAAAAAAACGTAAAGATAATTATTAAAATTGACCTGTTCTCACTCCCAAATCGCCTAAAAAAACGTAAAGATAATTATTAAAATCAACCCGTTTTCACCCAAATCGCCCAAAAAAATATAAAGATAATTATTAAAATTGACCCGTTCCCACCCCAAATCGCCCGAAAAAAATGTAAAGATAATTATTAAAATCAACCTGTTCCCACCTCAAATCGCCCAAAAAAAATGTAAAAAAAAATTATTAAAATCAACCCATTCCCATCCCAAATCGCCTAAAAAAATGTAAAAATAATTATTAAAATTGACCCATTTCTACCTAAATCATTCGAAAATTCATCATTCGCCATCATTCATTATGGGATCGTCATCTTCTTCAGTAGCGGATGAAACCTCCCTTCCGACTTCGGTATATTTCTCAGTTTCTGTTACATATTCTTCTGCAATTGTAACTCCTGCTTCGACCTCAGTATCATAGACCGCATCAAGTTGTGTTTTATATGACCACTTTGAAGCATTATATAGATGTGGCCGGTCATAATGCTGCACATCATCATTATATTTTCTTTTTTGTTGAATTTGAGATGATGATGTTGCAGCAATACAAGGATCAAGTACCTTCTTCAGTAAATTTTTTAGCTAAAAGAAGAAAATAATTAGTGGAATATACTAAATAAATTCGAAATATGCTAAATTAGATAAAGAAAATAATAAATCTTGACCAATCGCCAAGAATAGTCATATATAGCGATAATGGATCTTTGACGATTTTCTTCATCCATTTTGCTGATTTCTGGTAAATGATATAGGTGATCACTAAGAATTCGGAGTAAAGGTCACCTTTCGTATTTCATAATTCATTAGTCGTTTTCTTTAAACAAATATTTTGCTATCTTTACTCACTGAGCTGTTTTCTAATAAATAATAAATGATATTAAATTATTGATTCAAATAAACCCAAATTCAGAATATATGCTATTTGCTTACTTCATGTACTCGATTATTATTATGAATTCATCACAGCTCTGAAGGGCCCTTTTCGCTTTTCTTAATTCTTCAAGCTATCTGACGTGACTTATGGAAGGTTTTCAGCCAGTTCGTAAGTTGATCAACAGAAAGCTGAAAATTCAGAACTAAGGACTTTCATAATTCAGGAATCAGATTATGACATAATGCAGTATTTTTCTCACTATTAAAAGATTCGTCATAGTCTAAATTGTCCTTTGAGCTGACGGTTTTCAAAACCGCCTTCATTTTGGCCTAAATACGAAAAGTAGGAAAAAAATCAGCTAAAATTTAAATTATTTAGACATAAATTTAAATATACCCTAGCTTCTTTTACATTAGCCTCTTCTGTTGTTGAATTATCATTGTCCTCAGAATTGTTTTATGTTGATTCTTCCAATTCATCATCAGTATAATACACTGGCTTTTTTCCCTTTGATTTTGATGACGATTTTCTGATTTTTCTTCGTTTTGCAGGAGGACTAGCATCAGACTACTTCAATGATTTTAGCAGTCGTAATCTTTCAAATCGGTCAAGTCTTAAATATTAAAAAAGAAAAATTAGTTATTGTAAATATAGGATATTAATATATGAATTTTT